AATCTCACACTGTCAATAAAAACTGTCATGCGGTGTTTTTTGACAGATGAGAACGGGCCGCAAAAACACTCACTGTTATGCATGGTGGCGCTGTCCGCGTTGACAGTTGCTGGCGTTTTGACAGTGTGAGTTTTGCCTGTAGTTATTGTTTGGCAAAACAAAACTAGCCTTTTTTTCGTTGGAAGATTTTTTCGTACGACAAATCGTTCTGAGTGTAAGTTGTTTTCATGCTTTCTTTGGTAAATTCTCGTTTAATATTGACCGTCTGATAGCCAACATGTTTCTCTGACCAACTGCTTTCTCCCACATCAATGGTTACATTGACCGTATTGTGTGGGTCGTTAATTCGAGACAGTTTGAACACTTTGCCACTAGTGAAACTAATTTCCTTTTCAATCGAATGAGATTGATAACCGAATGGCGGAAAAATTGTCATAGTGAAACTGTTTTCGCCATTCCTTTTAATGATGATCTTGTCTTCTGATTGAGCAATCTTGTACGGCAAAGAGTTTAAGTTGTTACGAGAAGATGTGAAGCGACCGCTGTCGCGGTTGAATCTATCGTTTTCAAATCGACCAGTAATCAGATCTGTAATTGGGGTTTCAGTGGTTGTGCTTGTTGTTGCAAACATCAAAGATGAGTCAAAGTTTATTTTAACGGAAACTGGTTTGCCATCCTTGTCAGTGCCTTTTGCTTCAAATTTAATACCCTCTTTTTGTATTGCTTTTCCTGCCGAAACGAAGGCAAATATGACTAGGGCAATGATGCCAACTACAATGGCAATAATGAGTAGGATGACACCACAACCTGTTAAAAAGGTTAAAAACAATGTAATTAAAATAAAAATGTTACAACTTCGTCAACTTACAGCACAGAAACGTTTTTCCACCTCCCCATCCTTTACTAGGTTGTGGCCGGTTAGGCTCTATGTTTTTGTTCATATTTTAACAATGTTTTTTAAATTTAAAACATTATTAATTACTGCAAAAAACTGGTATTGTGCAGTACCAACGTTAAAGGTAACTTGATTATATTTGACGACTGTCCAATTCTGCCTTAATACTTTATAGAAATTCAAAGTAGTGGCAACTAAACAAATAACCCCACGCTTTTTTAGCACATTTTACTCAAACATTGACTACTCCTCCACATTAACTGGTTCGTNGAAGGTAACTTGATTATATTTTACGACTGTCCAATTCTGCCTTAATACTTTATAGAAATTCAAAGTAGTGGCAACTAAACAAATAACCCCACGCTTTTTTAGCACATTTTACTCAAACATTGACTACTCCTCCAGATTAACTGGTTCGTTAAACATTTTTATATCACCATTCTCCATGTCTGAATCTGAATCATTAAAGCTTTAGCCTAGCAAAGCTTTCAAGGTCGTCAGTTAATCAAAATGTCTTTTTAAAAGACTCTTTTTATTTTTATCTCTCAGTGTCCGTTATGCAGACTGCAAGTGGCCTTGAAGCAGATGGCTGAAATAAAGCAATAAAATCAGCAACGTCAAGTGAAGTAAAAATGTCAGAAAAAAAGTAAAAAGAATCAGCAATGCACTAAAACTGATTATGTATTCAACCCCACAAACTGTTGCTATGCTACAAACATGATACAGGGCGATTAGAAATCGAGATTCTGTTTCTGCAAAAATGTCTCAATTGTTAATTTTTTTTGCATGCATNCAAACATGATACAGGGCGATTAGAAATCGAGATTCTGTTTCTGCAAAAATGTCTCAATTGGTAATTTTTTGCATGCATGAAAAAACTAAATACTTTTAAAGTTTTTAATTCAACCTGTTAAAGACATTTATTTTTAATTTCTTTTTACTTTTAAAACAAAAGTACGTATTTCCATCGGCGATAAAGTAACATCTAATTTTTGAGCATCAAAAGTTATCTTCATTGGCTCTTCTATCTTTCCTTCTGGAATATACTTAAATTTTAATCGATTTGCTTTATTCTCGACAGGTGCGTTTGCTGACAATGTCAACTCTTGAGCTGAAACGATTTCAAAGTTGTAAAAAAGCTTTTTTAAGTTTACAGTAACAGGTTTGCTCAGCTCTGAATCTTCATCTTTCTGGTAAAAATGTTCGAGTCTGAGAAGTAAGCGATCATGGTTCCACTGCTCCAATGTAAGCAAGTGCACATTTTTGGGAAGTTGAGAAGCAAGTCCAGAGAATGTTAGCCGAAGATGGGATCTATATTCAGATTCTGTCAAACCAGTGGAGAAAGTGATTAATGGTTCGTTAGCAATTTGCTGTGCTAGTTCTCGATGTCTTGCAGCCGACTTTAGTATTGACTCGACAACCAGGACATGTTTCCCCCGAACTACCAGACCTTTACCATCCACACCCGGTTCATTAAGCTCTTCACTTACTCCAAAAAGGTCATCATAGTACAGACGTCGATGAATCATCACTTCAAGCATTCCATCTACAGGGCTGGTGCCACCTTGAGAGCGGTCGTTTAGCACTGTCAACTGCAATCCCTTTACGTTGTCTTGCAGAAATATTCTCGAATTAACTGGATAATAGTTTCCGGCAATTGGCTCTTTAAGAGACACATTCCAAGTTGGTCGATGGTTCCAGACTCGTTTGAGAACTTGACGACCGTTTGCATCAGTGAAAAAAGTTCTATTTGACGACAGATCAGTGATGTACCTAACAACAATCTCTTTTCCCTGCTCGTCTTCAATAGGAATCGGTCCGACAGCCCAGTCAAATTCAATTTGATCGGTTTGGGTGTCAATACGTACAACTTGGGAAATGTAAGAATCAAAACGTTGGTGAACCTCAAACACGCCAAACGATGAATCCTGGCTCTAAACAAAGCACAAACATTAAACAAAATTAATTGAAAAAAATTGTGTTTACCGAAAACAGCTGTGCATCAAGAATTTTTCCTAGTGGAAGAGCTTTTTGGTCAACATTTGGACGAAAAGCATATGCTCCAGATGCTCTACCCCCTGACTCTTGATAAGATTTGTAGTAAGCAAATTGTGATGATAAGGCCACTTTATGTCCATCTTTCAATTTCAGATGGTTCAACAAGCCGCTTGAATCAAATACAACGTCAAAACTCTTTGACTTTATTAGCGTTTCAGAGATGATTTTGGTGGATTTTGTTTCTATTATTGAGTGAGACGATTTCACAGATGTTGCAGAAATAAAGTAAGTGGAAAACCCTAGAGCTGGAACTATAGCTCTAAATACGAGCTCTTCTGTAGCTTTTGAAGTTCTACCGGGCATTTTTTGAACTGTTTCTGGAGTTTTAACCAAAGTTGCAGCAACTGGCTTTCCGTCAGAGCTTACAACGTTGTAAAACTTACTACTATCAACAGGAAAACGAAATATTTGTCCTGTTATTTCATGACCAAGAGGATTGTAAATGGTAACTGTAAAATTTGTGCCCGATTCAGTGATTGGGCAAGAGCTTGTATTTAAAGCAGAACAAAAGTGCAATTTTAAATTTGGATTTGGATTCTTGGTCAACAGTTTCATTTGGTAGCTCTTTTCAATCACATCAATGCAGCTTTTAATACCTGAATCAAGGTTTTTTGCATAGTTATCTGCCACATGTTGCTTTTCAGTCCCTGTCACTGCATCGTGGTGCTGAAATTCTCCCATAATTTCTCTCAATTGAGTAATTTTTTCTTCGTATTTTTCATTATTTTCAGCCAGAACATCAATTTGTTTACAAATCTAAAAATATTTTACTTAAACTTATTGTAAAGTAACATTTAGATTTAAAATACCTGAAGAATGTTGTTGCCAACTCGTTCAAATCTTTTCAACGCTGGCCTAGAAGTATAGAAACCTGTCCAGTAAGCGTGCTCATCTGAAGCATAAGGAAAAAAGTCGTCTCTTTTGCTGCTCCAAGTTCGGTTTGCAGCATGAACCGCTTTAGCGTAGCAAGATGGCGTTGAATAAAAGATTTTTACATCTTTCGATCGCTCATTGACATTTTTTATAAGTTTATCCATATTTTTGAACCAAACATGAGCATCTTGGTACTGAAAATCACTTCCCATTGGAATCAGAAGATTGTTAGTTGTATATGCGCCAGCATAACTTTTTGCAAATGTGACCAACTTTTCAACGTATTGAGCGGCATTGTACTCTTCAGAGTTAACATTATCAATGATGGGATCTGCAAGGTCTCCTGCAGGGAGATCCCAGTGAAATCCTGGAGGCGAACCATATCCCAAGTGCATCATTGAAGTGAACAAATCGCCATCGCTGCCGCGATCATCACTTCCTTGCCACATGTGCTCAAGTGTTTTTGTCCGAATTCGCTGTTCACGATCTTGAAAGTCTTGTCGAGCAAAGAAGAAAGCATCAAAGTTCATTGCAGCAAATAAGTTTGCCTGTTCTCGAGAGTGACCAAATGGATCAATGTGCCAAGCCACTTTTGGAACTCCACACTGACCAAAAGTATCGTTCAATCTTCTATGCCCCCATGTCATTTGATCAATAATGCTGTAGTAGGTGCATGTTGCTTCATCATTCATTGCCCATCCACCATTTACAAATTCAAGTTGTCCTTTAATTGGGTTATTAGTAAATTAATTTAAAACTGTTTAATTGTACCTGTTTTGACCAGTTCCTTGACAATAGCTTTCTGCTCATCGTCTTGCTCCATCCACCATNTTATTAGTAAATTAATTTAAAACTGTTTAATTGTACCTGTTTTGACCAGTTCCTTGACAATAGCTTTCTGCT